CGTGCTTCACTCTAGTATGCTTTTACTCTACATGTGTATGTGTTTTGTATAGTGTTCCACTTGGTTTCACCCAATCTTTCACTTGGGTGTACTTACCTTCACTCTAGTATGCTTCTACTCTCCTTGTGCAAGTGCTTCATCAAGTTTTTCACTTGGTTTCAGTCAGTCTTTCACTTGGGTATACTTCAATTCACTCTACCATGCTTCTACTCTACTTGTACATGCGTTTTGTTTAGTCTTTCACTTGGTTCCACTCAATCTTTCACTTGGTGGTACTTCCCTTCACTATGGTATGCTTCTACTCTACTTGTACATATATTTTGTATAATTTTTCACTTGTTTTCACTCACTCTTTCACTTTGCGGTACTTCGCTTCACTCTAGTATACTTGTATTCTAGATATACATGTGTCTAGTCTAGTTTTCTACTTGGTTTTACTCATTGTTAACTAGCATTTCGTTAAAATTGATATTTTTTACTATTTTCACGAAATTGTGCGTCCAAGAAAAAACTGAGTTTTCAGTGTGTTTTGTGCCCACGACATCGGACCATAGATGGTCCGGCGTATTATGTATCTCAATATAAAGTACCGTCAAAATACATCCGAGGGTCGGAAAAATAAAAATAAAAAATTGAGGCATATCAGATGGTCCGGCGTCGGACGATCAATGGTCTGATGTGGTTGGCGCAAGAAAATGCTAAAAAATACTGTGTTTTTTTGAAAGATCAATTTCGTGAAAATAGTAAAAAATGTCAATTTGAACGAAATGCCTGTTTGTTTGAGTTGGTGGTACTTCGCTTCACTCTTGTATGCTTCTACTCTACATCTGCATCATGTACTTTGTTTAATTATTTACTTAGTTTCACTCATTCTTTCACGTGGTGGTACTTTGTTTTACTTTAGTATACTTCTGCTCCACGTGTGCATGTGCTTTGTCTAGTTTTCCACTTGGTTTCCCCCAATCTTTCGCTTGGTGGTACCTCACTTAACTCTAGTATGCTTCTACTCTACATGTAAATGTGTTTACTTTAGTTTTTCACTCGGTTTCATTCAATCTTTCACTTGGTGGTACTTTGCTTCACTCAAGTATGCTCATACTCTACATGTGCATGTGTTTTCCCTAGTTTTCCACTCGGTTTTTCTTAATTTTTCACTGGGTGGTACCTCGCTTCACTCAAGTATGCTATTACTTAATATATATATGTGCTTTGTCTAGTTTTCCACGTGGTTTCATCAAATCTTTCACTTCGTGTGCTTCACTTCACTCTAGTAATGCTTCTACTCTATATGTGCATGCGTTTTGTCTTGTCTTCAACCTGCATTCACTAATTATTTCACTCGGTAGTACTTTGCTTCACTCTGGTATGCTTCTACTTTACTTAAGTATATGTTTTGTCTAGTTTTTTACTTTTGTTACTTATTCTTTAACCTGGTGGTGCATTGGTTCACTCTAGGAGCCTTCTACTCTACTTGTGCATGTGTTCCCCACTCTCTCATCGCGCACATCATCTGTGGAAGCCACCTCCCCGAAAGGGCCCCAACGATCCTCGTCTCCCCCCGTCATCTCCATCTCATCAAAGTTCCCCGCTCGTCGTGCGGTGTATGTCCTCGTTTCTACGTCCTTGGTATCCTCGTGCGTCTTGTCGATCTCACGAGGAATGGGGAACGCAGAGTCATCCGCTGCCTCGGGTATCCGCTCGTCATCAGAGTCATCGTCCCTGTCGTACGGATGGAAAATGCAAGCACGTCGCTAAAAAACAGCAGTGGCAGGGGGCCGTGCAGAAGCACTGATGGGATCGTGAGTAATAAGCGCAACTTGCTGGGCAATCTCCTCCTGTGTCATCCCCTTGCGCGTCCCCGTGCGCACCGACTCCAACTCAATGTCTGTCTGACAGTCGAGCATGCCCTCGTCCCGCTGCCATGGCAACACGTAACCGCATCCCGCCTGCCGATACTCCATCAACCGCACATTTCCGGTGATCTGAACGAGCTGCACGACCTTCTCGAAGGCCAACTGGTTGCGCTTCTTCGTGTGGATGCCTTTATGGACCGCCCAGTTCCGCTCCACTGGAGAGGCGCAGGACCACATGTGCATCACACGAAAAGCGCACCGCTGCAACTCAGGCGAGCCAGCCCTGTACTTGGACCACAAAGACGCGCACTCGATCGTCTCGGCGTCACCGCTACACGCGCGCCCACAAGCACGCCTCTCCGCCCCGCCCCAATCACCAAACCTGTTTTGCTGCATGTGGAAGTCCTCGAGTTGCCGACAGGCAATGAGGTAATCCGCACCGTCAAACTCAAAACCCGTTTGCGTCAAAATGTGCCTCTTGGCTTGCCTCACAAGCCAAGCATGGTAAGCCTTCACCTTACCAGAAAAGTAACAAACATGTCGCCTGCGCGGGCTCAGTAAAAACTCAGCGCAGTGAGCCGGCTCAAGCATGTGATGTGTGCAGGCCTGCACACGCCTGATGATCCAGTCCGCCAAGGACTAGCCCAAAGGGGCACATGCGTCCTTCACACAGTGCACAAGATCCTGTGCCCACTCGACCATGAGCGACATGAACTGTCCTCTACGATCCATCCGCCTAAGCAACTGCATGACGGGCTCTATAATATGGACGATGGTGGCAACCCTCTGCCACTAAGGATCCCATCTGATCTGTCGGCGTACCCAATGCGCCATCTGGCACACATCGGTAAACCACAAGATGGAAGCAAATACCCGTAAGTCGTCCCCTCACATCATGTCCTGCAAAGTGTCCTACAAAGCCAACAGCCTCTCCAACATGGAGTAAACAAACTCGAACCGCGTCTCACAGGAAAGAATAAGCCTCTTGTCGGGGCTGCGCCTCCTAGAAAAAGAAAGGGCGGTCTGGTGGGTTTTGAACAACACCACGAACACACGAGCGCGTGTGATTGTGTCCACAAATGCATAATTCGTCCCCATGTCCGACAACAATTTGTTGCAGACATAGACGGAGCACCGAAGCCAAGTAATCCTCCTCAATGCAAGAGGCATGGTCGACGAGGCCAACGCCCTTTCAGCCCCCACTTACGCTGAAGTGGAGTCAGTGCAAATCGCATTGACCCGCTGAGGCCCACCGAACCTGAAATCGTGGAAGATGGTGACCCATCTCTGAAGGACGTGCACTGCATCGTCCGGCTCCCCCTCTCGATTGATCGTCATGTACATGACGACCCCTCGCGAGCCTGCGACAAGGAAATTCACGATCGGTCTCCCGTCTCGTGATTTTCCCCCGCCAGAGAGGATGGTGGCACCAGTCACCCAGAATGGTTGCCTCACCTCCTCCAACTCCGCAGGGTGGGTCTCCACCGCTTGCATGCTGGCAATCTCGATGTGGCTAGGGAGCACAACATGCAGCGAACTGTCGGGCTGCTCAAGGAGCACCTGTTGATATGCCTTCCATGCCTCGTTGCGGAAGGCATTGAAGGCCACCCCGCTGGAATGAAGTCAGCAGAGGAAGGCCTTCTTGTGGCAAGCAACCCACTGGTCACCGTAGACATCAGTCACCTTCTGCTGTCGGAGTCTCTTTCCAGCGTGGGTAGTAGCTGGATCAGCTCCTCATTCCTTCCTCTTCGAAGGACCGTCCTCCCTCAGGCCAGTCGGTGCAGGCACCGCCCCCTTGGCTGCTCGCCTCAACCAGTCCACCATCCTCTCCCCAGTGGCTGGATGGAACTCTAGCGCGTCCTTGTGTCCCGGGAGTCCCTCCTCGGCCAGGCCACGTGCCTCGTGATCGATGTGGATCACGTCCTCCTCCATGTCCCCTCCTCCACCCCCCGATGTCCCCTCCTCCATCCCCTCCTCCACCCCCCGATGGGCGATCAGACGCACCCTGGCCACCATCTCCCCCGCCCACTCCCTCCACCTGAGGCTGCCCCGCCTCTCCTCCCCTTGCACCACCGGCCCGGGGCGCATTGAGTCCAAGCTCCGCGGCGTACCTGACAACCCTCTCCATCTGGTCAGACTCAAACTTCTGTTAAGTCCGTCGTGCCATCTCGTACAGTGCCTCGTCGTTGACGTCCTTGCAGTAGTTCGTTTGCTGAAATGTCTCATGGCCTGGCCCCTGGAACACTTTGTTGCAGAATGTGCAACGTAGCATCATGACCCGCTTGTTGTCGACCTTCTGGCCGACGACAAGGTACCGATACACAGGAGAGGGACCCCTAAACGTCTCCTGCACATGTTCCGGAGCGGCGTCATGTTGCCGGCGCTGCGCCCTCCTCATCACAACTGTCCTCTTTCACGCTCTGAAGCGTCGACCCAGAGTCCTTCCTACGACGCCTCACTGGCCCGCACAAAAAGCTTCGCATAGTGCCTCAACGCCGGTCCGCCCCAGCCACAGAGCCGCGCAAACACCGACCGAGGGCCGCCCAACCCCCACGGGCCCTCCCCAATGTCGTCGCCCCCCACCGCACACCGTCGAACGACCCCCGGTCACCATGTTAAATCGCGTTTAACGCCGTTGAACCGCGTTAAAACGCGTTCAATCATGTTCAACGATGTGGAATTAAAAATTCAATGGCGTTGTTCGCGAATGCCGTCGGCGACGCACGCTGTTCCATGTCCGCCTCGCTGCCGCCGGGCCGCGCCTCTCTATCTGTCGTCGTCGTCGTTGTCTCTCTCTCTCTCTCTCTCTCTCTCTCTCTCTCTCTCTCTCTCTCTCTCTCTCTCTCTCTCTCTCTCTCTCTCTCTCTCTCTCTCTCGTCGTCGTCGTCGCCGTCATCTCTCTCTCTCTCTCTCTATGTGTGCACTTGCCGCGCACACGTTGGACGCGTCACTCGACTGCGTTCTGCGCATTGAAGCCTATAGGCTCGCAAGGCAAATGAAAGTGCGGCCCAGTGAAACGACTGTTCTTGTAGTCGTCCCCCCAGCCATCCTCCGAACCCCGGCAACCCGAAAATGCAGCGGCCTTGTTTTTTTTTTCTATTTAAAAAAAAATAAAAAAATTCTGATCGTCTGAGGTGGTACCCAACAGACCACTACACCACCCCATGCCCTCATAATTCGCACACCCCCGCACAAAACGGACGAAATCAAGTTTCGCGTACCCTGTTGATTCACGTCCAACGCGCGTTCAAACGGGGATTCAAAGCGAATTCAGCGCGTGTTGAATTTTTTAACGAGAAACCCGAGTTGAATCCAATTTCGGATACATAGGTCACCGCATAGTCGTCTGATGTACGTAAAGGACTATTTTAAAAGATACATTCATGCACGATCTACTATATATTTACTCCATAACAACTACATCGAGAGCAATTTGGCATTGTAGTTTTTTAACGTCGTACGAGGATAAAGTGAATAACGACGGACAACCTCTAGCCAACAGTGATGCATATGTGAGCATCAACACACCACACTCATTAAAGTCATGCTGCTTCCGAATACCATCCACTATGCATGTATGGTTGAATGGTTTGATGTCAATCTGATTACATTGTTCCATGGATCTCATATACAAGAACTTTGCAAACCTTCTTGTCACTGTTTTCATAAGTTCGACATCCGGTATCAGCGAGTCGTAATACTTAAATTTACCACGTCTCAAGTTGGTCACTACGAACGTCCAATTATGTTTAACATGGAAAGGCGTGATAATTAACTTCGTGTTGCAATCTCTGTGAACCATTGTCGAACTTGATTGTACTGAAACTTCGTGTTGCTATCGAATAGTCTAATGAAGAAGAATGAATTGATAATTATTGTTGTAGGGATGAAACTCATTCTTGTCCTATCCACAATCACGTTCTCGGTATCACATTCTATTAAATTCATACAACACTCCTGGCTCAGTTAGACGAGGTTAAGAAACTTAGGATAAAAATTAACTATCTTCTTGTTCAAACATTTCCTCGTGGTCGTAAGCAAGTTAAATTCATTGATTGTTAGCTTTAATTTTTCTTCGTGTCTTCATTGAACGAGCTTGCTATTATGTCTTCATTCCCGAGTTCCACTCGCAATTGCGTGAGGTACCTGCTCTGTCAAGTTTGTTGTTAGCAAGTGCATTGTCCATCATTTTTTGCATTATGCTGCACACGACAACGTGACATGTTTGTGATATGAGCTACTATCATAATATGTGCACTCTTAACCACACTTTTCGTATTCGGTTTGTAGCGCTTTAACGCATACTGATGATTTTTTAAATATGGATGCGGTACTTGTACGCAACTTTAAGTTTACAGAGTTGCTATCGACACAAATCTGCATTTTGTTTGTTGAATTTTTGTTACGACTATTATTTGATGAAATATTTTTCATTATGCACCTGGAACATGACACTTGTGTAAGATTCACTAAGGGTATCATATGTTTGGGGGGGGTGGAGGGATGCATTAAAAAATGGGATTGGGGGAGATAAAAAAATATACAAAATATTACAGATTGATAAACGTACAAATAAATGAACTCGTACGTTGACAATTTGAGAGAGAGAGAGAGAGAGAGAGAGAGAGAGAGAGAGAGAGAGAGAGAGAGAGAGAGAGAGAGAGAGAGAGAGAGAGAG